CACACACACACACACACACACACACACACACACACACACACACACATGCACGAACGCACGCACGCACGCACGCACATGAATTCGTATGAATAATACGTACAATTATTACACCATAAATGTTATAATATATAGAGTGGCTCGAAAATAATGCAGGATATAAATCTGTTGTAGATTAAATTTCTTATAAAAAAAATCATGTCAAATATATCTTTCAGAAGAAGTTAAGGTTTACCGGTGAAAAACAATATCGAACATATGACCCTCCCTACCAGTCCTACAGGCGATTATTCTTTCCGTAAAATTTATCATCACTAGATAACACATTGCCCCATCAAGTTCGTTGAGGACACGAAGAATTTTTTGCTTAAGTACCAAGACATTTCGAACTTTGTTCTGGTAAGCTCATGACTAAGTGTATCCATATAAGAAAAATTCACACGGCGTCAAGTCGTAAGACCGACTTTATGTGTAGTTTTGGCCATGCAACAAGATTAGTCTGTCTGGGAACTTCTCACGCAGCAAAGGAACTGTTTCCCTTAAAGTGTAACAAGTTGCACCGTCTTGTTGTAATCATAAAAGAATATCTACTGATCTCAATAATTTTTTTTAGCCCTATTTGGACTAAATAAACATAAAAAATGTTTGTTTTCAACTTGTCACACTTTAAGTGAAACAATTGCCCTGCTGCGTGAGAATTTTCTGAACAGTTTTTTTCTTATGGAGATAAACTAAATTACGAGCAAGAAATTCGTCGTATCCTCAACGAACTTGATGGGGCAATGTGTGATTGAGTGATGATAAATTTTACGGAAAGAATAATCGCCTGTAGGACTGGTAGGGAGGATCAGTAGGATAAAAATAGCGGTTCTGATACCTAATCACTAGTCCCAAGTCCCTCCACCCACCTCTCACTAGTCCTAGGTATCAGAACCGCTATTTTTATCCCACTAGGGTCATATGGTTTTTCACCGTTAAACCTTAACTTCTTCCGAAGAGAACGATATATTTGTTATGTTTTTTTTAAAAGAAATAAATTTAATTTATAGCCGATTGAAATACTGCGTTCTTTTTGAAACACCCGATATTTTATACGGATTGGGTTAGGTTACGGTATTGCGCGTGGGCAGAAACCCCGTGCGCGGTACACACCGTTGCGTGCGTCTACGCGCTCAACAGAACTTTAAGTCGCGCGCAACATGGCGTTTGAGAGCGTGCGTTGAAATCTTAGTCATCAGGGGGTCGTGAAAACAATCGCTTACGTAACGGATATCGCGCACGACTGGTTCACGAAATTTTCGAGTCGGTTTGCACAGATCGGCACACCAAAAGCAGCAAACGTGTGTCTGAAATCGTCCAGGCGAGCGTTCACGAAAAATTGCAAATCTCAGGCAAAACACCGGGATGTTGGTACGCGGATACGGGTAAAACACGATTGCGTACGTTCGTTATCGGCGATACCTTTTTAAACTACACGATTCCGTATGGTTTTACCTGATTTTTAACTATACTATTGTGTTTGAAATTTTGAGAGTTGATACCAATTTTCATACCGGTATTGGTCTATACCACATGCCTTTACAAGTGAACTTGAAAAAGTCACAATAAATACTTTGTGTTTTTTTGCTTTTATTACCTATGTTTATTGTTAATGATATCAAATATATCAGATATAACGAAATTTCGTTATTTTCATTATAATATACGATATTTTCCGAGTTTCAGTAAAAGTAATATGTTATAGATCCAAATTTATTGTGAATCAAAATTTAAGCATTTTCAAATAATTTATTAACAATAATTTTATTAAAATAAAAACTGTCGATTTTATTTATTTATTAATTACTTTTCTTTTATTTAGTTATCTTAATTTTATTATTAATTTTTTTTATGACTTTTATAGAATTTGTTACATGTTACATGTATTCATGTATTTTAGATATAATACGGTGAAATTGGTAAATTTAACATTCCTGCATACAATTTCATACGCAATCGTGTTTATTCATTTTTCTTACCCACCTTTTGTTACCCTTCTACAAACGTAAGCAATCGTGTTGCCAAAAAGAACAAACGTACGCAATCACGTTCCACCCCGCGAATACGGGAGAGGTCTCGCGTGTGCAACAAGTCCGCGATCGATTTAATCTTGCTCGCCGCGGCGAATCTCTACTGAAGCAGAGCTTATTTTGACGTGCGTTTGACATACATTGTGCGTAAATCTAAATGAAAAATGCGTAGCTCTAATTCAAAAAATGTGCAGTTGTAAATCAGTGTTTCCCAACTGGTGTTCCACGGAACCTATGGGTTCCGTGAGCTTGGGCGAATGGTTCCGTGAGAAATTTGGGAAAATATAAATTAATTAGCAATATTTTGATTTGAACGTAGAACTGGAATCGACACATTTCCCGATGTGAGGTGCGTATTTTATAGCTTTTCGTGGAATACAAAGACTAAGAATAAGTTTCGAAATCAACCAAACGCGGTTCCGGACTTACGAATCCAATTTTCAGGAATAACTCCAGATTTAAAAACAGTTATGAAAAAAACTATGGAAAGATTCCAATCTTCTCGTTGAATCTATCTTAGAGGTAATGAGAGACAAATATTAAATTTTTAGTTTTGATGTGTAAATTTATAATATTGTAATAATAAGAAACAAAATAAAAAAATGTTAAAGCCGTCTTGTTTTTTTTATATTAAAGACACTCTTGTGCCGGAAGTGTCCGATAACCCACTCATTAAAGTGTACAAAACATATGTCTGCACTTATACGAGTATTATAGAAAAAATATTGAGGTTCCACAAAACGTTCAAGCTCCTACAAAGGTTCTGCGGGTAAATACTATCTATAAATAAAATTTCTCACAAAAATAAATTGTAGTTATCAGTTTCATAGCCGAGTGCAGGTAGAGGTCAATCATCAGATTAGGTTTTATTATTATTAATATTTTACTATCACAATATTATTGCACAGTGGGGCTTATAATCATACACAGAGAATAATATTTTTAAGAATATGGGGAGGGGGTTGAGTTTTAAGTTTTGCGCACTTCTTAAAAAACCTTAAAACCTTCAGCCCTGGACTGAAGTGCGTCCGGGACCATTGGTCACCGTCAGAGCCGTTAGATCCATACGTGTTGCAGTCGGCCGACTAACCAGCCGCGCACAGAAGGGAACGGAAACAACGTATGATGCGGCGTGACCCATATCAATAATGGGTGTAGACACGCGCGCGGACGATCTGCTCGGTCCAATGGCGTACACGGTGTACGGCGGTGTACAAGCTCAGTGTTTTGGGTGCCGTGCCGAAAAGTATTAATTTGTTAATCATAGGTATAACTATACGATTAAACTTATTGAAATAACATTTATGTGGTATGGGATTAATTTTGCGTTCGCAATAATCTATATCGAATATATTTTATCATCGGTCACATTTGATAAAGCGTGATATCACGCACGAACTCGAAATGCCAACTGACTCCTGATCTCGATCAAACATCAATTGTTACAACATACCATTTGAATAGTCTGTCCGTAATCTTTTTTTTTTGCAATTGATAGGTGTGTCAATCATGATACTTGTCGTGTATTAGCCGGGCTAATTCATTATTTAATATAAGTAGATGAAATTGATCTGAACTAATATTGTTATTAGATAATTTGTACAATAAGTTTACAACAAATAGGTTGAAACCTAGTCAAAATTACAAAGATCGATGAACATCAATCTTGAATCTACACAGAACAAAAAAAAAAAAAATTGTACAATAATATCCATAGTGAAAACTAAAAACCTCATTTGTCAATTGTCATTTACATTTGTTCATTGTAAATACATAATCAAATAGAGCAGGGGGTCTAGGGAGTGAAGTCCCCCACGGATCTCTGATCAACCAATAGTGAAAACCCTAACCGAACCAAAATCCTCCGTATGCTACTGATAATTCGAACGATTTTGGGTCCGAACCGGTTAACTCGCTGCTAATCACTTCACGTACCGTTTACACATCTTGCGGGTTATAGCAACGTGCATGATTAATAAGACATTCAGTTTCAGTGCCGTAACTAGAATTTGACAAGTTGGGCGGTTGTCAGCAAGTAAGCAGCAAAGTAAGGAATCGCGTGTAAGTGGAATTCAAACCTGTTTTTTTGTATAAAACAAGAGCCAAAATAAAATTCACCAAGGGTGTCAAGGAGAATAGTTACGACACTGTTTCGGTTTTCCGCTCGTGTGACAATAACACTTAGTGCGCGCGAGAGACTCAGACAAGTCGCGCGGGACGGAAATGTTGTTGGGCGAGAAGAACCAAGCTTACCGCCGGCGGTCGGGAGACTGGGTACCTTCGTCGTTTAAACTTTTTTTGCAACGACGGCACTGGGATGTCCTCAAAGTGAGAAAATGGAGTAGTCACCCCTCACCCTATATGGCCTTTTTTCTTTGAATTTTGTTATGTATTATTTTGTACCGCACTAGAAAAATATATAAATATGAATACATGAATGAAGATGGTCAGTAAAAGGGTCTATTGACGTGGTAAGTAAGTAAATTGGTAAGAAAAAAAAGAAAAAATAGTAAATATCTATTTCTAAACGTGCACGTACACAGTATACTGTTATTACATAATTATTATAGAGGTGTGTAGTGTATACGTGTGCGTGTGTGCGTGTACGAGATAAGCGTTTAACGGGGGGGTTACGTCATGCGCGGTGACAAGGTAATCGACGCAGATAAGTACTGCGAAATATGCTGGCGAACAGGTTCGGACAGTAATTAATGTTGGGGTGATAAGACGACTGTTTTCGTGTGTACGGATTTAGATAAGGTAATTCGGTGTGGGCATTGTTCGGGAGAATAATTAACAACGTACCGGCACAATACGTGTAGGCACATAACGTGCATTGGTTAACGTGCATACACAGTACGGTATACCGTATGCATGGAAGTATGGTACGCATTATCCGGGTGCCTAGGGTTTTTTTCCGTGTGTATATTATTTTTTTTTGTACGTACGCCACTGGCAGCGTAAGCGACAAAATTAGATAACAGGCACGGGTATGGATACGCGACATATTATTATATGATTAGTACGATTGTGTACGCCGTATAGACAATGGTCAACACTGTGTGAAACGCCCCCTCCCCCTGATAAAAGAGGATTTCGTATTAAACAGACGCGCCCACACCACGTTATGCTATATTATAGGTGAATATAATAGAATATATTGTACCTGCACATGAAGCATTTAGGTGTACGCACTCATTCAGTGTTTTGTACTGGTTTTGCATAAAATATATAATGATATACACTGTGTGTATATCACATCATGATGCTGTATGGCACCCTGAGATATCGTTCGTAATCATGAGGGTATTTTATTTTGCTTAATCGAATACGGCGATCAATAGTTCAATTGGAGAAATTCGAGTTATCTGCAAATCAGCAGCGATTACGAGTAGAAAATTACAAAAGCATACTTGTCAGGGGAATTGGAAGCTGGTCTCTTTGTGTATTACATGTGCAATATGTTAATTTAAACTATGTTACCCCTTAAGATACGACAAAAATCTAAAAATCTATTGAAATTCGTGATGAAATCAACTTAAGAATTTTTTTTTGTTTTCATTTTATTACCTCAATGTCTACGAAAATTATACAATGACATGTATTTATATAATTTTTAAATTGTATCTATTGCCTTTGATGATACTTCAAGGGACACAATCGAAATTTCAAACTTTCACGACCAACCCAAATCTGTTATAACCTAACCCTTATCACATCATTAAATCTAATAGTATACCTACTGGAAATAAATAAGTCAAAGTTAAAATGTTACTTGTGAGATAGACCTAAACAGCTAATCAATGCTTCAAATCTCTTTAAAAATATTTACAAAAATGTTACGATAGTCCACCGCCGTACAATAACTATATTTAAATTGTGTACCGATTTAAAGAACTTCGAAACGTGAATTATATAAATTACTGATAAAATATAGCGTATATACGACTTTACACTTACGAAGATATTAGTGAAGATATATAGAGTTAACGTGGTACCAAATGGGAAAAATTGATTTACCACCCAAAATGAACGTTACGCGAGGTTTTGAGTACTCAATTTTTTCCGAATAAATAAACGTTTCCATGACATAAAATTCAAGTTTATCATAACTTAAGCTAAGTAAGTACATTGAATAACATACCTGATCGAAAATGTCCGCGTGTTTTTGCGACGATGACGTGTTGAATAATATCGTGATATCACTGAAAAAATAAAACGAATTCAAACCATTTGAAACGAAAAAACGGAATGTAGGACAAACAATAACTATTTAACATATGTAAAAAGTTTTAATGCAACCTTCGTTAATGTCGATCGTTCTTTGTCGATCGCGCACAAAATGAAGCGGTGCAATGCTGCAGTATATTGGGTTCGTTAATCTAATCTCTTATTAGGTTATAGAATAATCAGATAAATGTTTCTAATCTAGGGTTGCTGATAAATAATAAAAACTGAAGGAAAAAAAAGAAAAAAACTACTCGTTATATTGTTGTTTTTCGTCTGATACTGCTATATGTAGCAAAGGAAATGTTTTCATATTAAATCATGAATACACATACCTATACAACACACACACACACGCGAACGCACATACGTACGCAAATATATAATATAAATTATAAAGTGAGCCATTTGACCTTTGCGTGTGTCCGCTGGTTACAAGGATCGGCCGAACGATAAGCATATATGAGTAATAATTTTAGTGATTTTTAATGGATAAATATCGACATTTCAAAACATCATATTATCGGGTATTTTACAATGGTTATTCTACATTGGTATTATAAAACAATGAAATTATATCAAATAAATTACAACCACAATCAGTATACGTTATTATAGTAACATTTTGTGGTATACCCTGTATATTATGCGAGCACGTATATTTGAGAGTATATTTTTTAAATTAAATACAGGTTGTACGATATAAACATAATTATTCAATATTTTTTATATTATTATTAATTATTATATATATTATATTTTTAATTATTCATTATTTTTTTTTTTTTGTAACTTTCGTGTTTTGTATTGCACAAATACCGATGTCTTGACAAGAAGATAGATCGTCGATGATTTTACCAATACTTCAAGTTATTTATAATTCATGTAAACTAAAAGTATAAACTTCTAACTGATTAATTATTTCAAATTATAAATTTGTATTCATTTTTTGTGTGACGATTGCTTATTAATTAAATAATTTATTACAGTTTTGGTCGTCGACCTTAGTTAGTTGCCATCTTTGAAGTAATATTATATGCTGGAATAGTTCAATTACAACCTAATAAAATATGATGTACACGTTTATCCGAATTGAAATTTATCGAAAACATAAAAACAGTGTCCTTAAATGAGTAATTAAAATACCTATATCCGGTCAAATACTTGATACTAATTATTGTGTTTTGAATTTTCAAATATTTATTCAAAATCTATACCGTAGAATTGTAAATTTATTTAGTAATCTATTTAGTTATTAGAATTTCTATTATTTTATATTGTATTTGAAATGAATTAATATTTGGGGTTACGGAACTATCTTATCAAAATAATAATATTGTCACGTAGTCCACTGATAATTTGAGGCATTTACATTTTAAATAAGTTAAAGCATTTCATTGTGAGTTTACATTTTCCTCTATCATATATCAACACCCGTAATCTAACAATGTCAAAATTCACATATATTCAAAATCGATCGTCGTTTATTATTTGGATAATCGGTATCTAAAAAAATATGTTATTCAATATTAAGATAATAGGAGATAGAACCATTTTTCTAAGAAGTTGAATAATCAAACTATAACTAAATCCTAATAATAAACTCTACATCAATATAATTTAATACGATATAATTTAAATAATCTATAATTATGTTTTAAATATAAATTAAAAATTGAATGAAAAAATTTGTGTATTTTTTTTTTAGTTATATTTTACTTTATACTTATAAATATATAAATCTATCACGGTTAAGTTTGATGTTTGAACTACAAATAATATCCCACCGATAATGATATTTAAACGACCTTTCGTTAACTCTATTGGACTCGGATCATCCCGATAGCTAGTGCATTAGACTTATTCAATTGCAGCATTACACATAACATAGCTTCAAATAATACGAGGCGACAACAATGTTTCGTTATGAAATCTTTTTATTTTATATTGTTGTTTAATAGAACAATACACTACAGAGAATATATTATTATAATGATTAAATACTTGATCATATTGATTGTGTAATATACGTTTGAGGCACAACGATGTTATAATACGGAACTAAAACTGTTAGAAATATTAATATAAACGCTGATTTTTTTTTCTAATGAAATAATCAACCCATTTTGAATATTGTTAATATTTAAACGTTACACATTTAATCAATTATATATGCATATAATAATAATAATATATATATATATACGAATATACAATAATAATAATAATATATACATATATACATGTACAATTATTTACATACTCTACAATACACTTTCACTGGATAATTAAAACAAAACACGAAATGCACGTAAGAACTGTTTAAAAATTTTAAAAGCCAGTCAGTAAATACGAGTAAATGACATGTTAGTGCATAGGAGATACCCCAATAACATTTTCAAGGATGTGATTGTGTGTTGTGTGTACGATCAGTTGGAATGTTCTGGATGTTACAATATTAAATATTGTATTAGTGTCTTACCAAGCGCCAACCTAATAAATAAAAACCAGTCGGTAATTTTAAAAGGACAAATGTGTCTTGGGCGTTATGATATTTTATGGTTTCAAGACAAACGAAATAAATATTGAACTATTAAAGTAATAAACTATTATTACACTATTAGGTTAGTTATAGATTTAAATGTGTGAAGATTTATGTTTTGATTCAATGCAATATCTTTTGATATCGGTATTATTTTTATAATTTTTTATTCATTATTTTACAATATTGCTGCAAAAACCTTTTATTTCATATTGTTATTATTTCATTAATAATCATAATATTTGTTAATTATTTCAATTTAAAATATACATTATATTACATACATATCGATTTATAAGCTTACAATTTAAACAAATTAACAGTAATTAGAAACATTTTTTTTTATAGCATCTAAATAAATACGAATTAATTCTGTAAAAAAAAAAATTTAAGAACAACTTAAGATCGTCATCGCTCTCACAGTATCTCGTGTTATAAAATCTCAACATGGTTATAAAAAAATAACTATAAAATATACTGTAAAATGGTCCTTATCCATTAGGTATAATGGATGGTCATCATACCATTTTACTACACCGTAATTGTTAATTCTTATTTCGTATTTAAAGGATCAATAAATAAATCACTGACAAATATTTTATGTGTGTGTGTGTGTGTGTATAAAAATTAATGAATTAAATGTGTATGATGAAGTTTAAATAATATTCCTAACATTTATTCACTGTATAAGAACCTAATAAAAAAAAATATGTTAACTTACATTATATTACTTATTATTAACGAATATTATGCCGTACCACTTACGATAGTATACAAAAAAACTTTGGATTAACTTATTTGAATTAGTGATTTCATATTATATAAGTGCTATATTTTTTAAGTAATTTTTGATATATTTGTATTTCGTTTTTCTGTAGTACACAATTTGCTTGTCTCGATTGATCCAATTATATTTCATTACGGTTTCTTTATTTATACTTGTTTTAAGTTAATTAATTGAAATTTAATCGTTTTAACAGTAAAATAAAATCGTATGTTTTTATCTTATCATGCGTGTTTTGATGTGATCGAATAAAATCTTAATCTCTCGTGCAATATAATATGACTTAAAAAAAAATGTATATATATATATATATATTTTATCTGATAATTTCCTCGTTGCTTAAGCTCTATAGATTATAATATTATAGTATTATCCAAGTATATCTAACCATTGTGTTTATCACATTATCACAATTATATCACTTGTAATATAATCCGAGTATTGAAATGCTATGTTGTAGATCGAACTGTTTGTCGTCTGCTGCGAGATATTCGAGATGATTATAATATACTATGATACTAAATGACTGAGGTAATGATATGAAATAACTTACCAAGGTCATGAAAAATGTGTTTCAATGTACGTTTACTCGCATAACGAACTAGCCGTACGTAAAATACCATTATTGAATAATTAACGAAATAAAATCTTAATAATATTGTAATAACAATATCGTTCGTTATCAGTAAAAAAAAAAAAAAAAAAAAAAATGTGGAATAATAGAAATTCGATTTAAATAAAAAATATTTGTACATCCATTTAAAACGATCTGATAGTGACATTCGGGTCAAATGGAGGTGACGTTGCAGAGGCGACAGAAGTAAAATAAAGTTACAAATCAAATTTCGCATCGCGAGTTGTACTGCGCGGGAAATATTTGTGATAAAATACGTGTACGATAATACATGTACATGCATATTATAACATTTGATCGTGGCGTTTACGTTTTTACGCGTATAATAATAGTATGAGTCATTACCGTAATGACATTTCAAGAGTTTCAGTAATAGGGATGACATAGTTTTAAAATAATCAAAAAATATTGTGTAGCTAATCTAACCTACTCGCCAATGTTGATCACTGCGATTAATAATAATAAATAATCTAATGGATTAGATATAGTTTTAGACTCAAAACGCATTGTACTCGAATAATAAACTCGTGTTCTGTTTAAACAACTTAACCACATGTGTGTGAGTGTTCGACCGACTGATTATCCACACACGCGGACATAAACTCTTGATGGCGTAAACATGATAAACATACTCTTCGATATTATTTAACGTGCGGACCGACATTATTGTATTAGGATTTTTTTTCTTTTGATTTTTTAATCTCGTACGAGTGACCGCACAAACCGGTCCCATCAGTAGCGTATAATGTTGTTTTAATCATTGTGATTATACTTGAAGTTTTCGAATAATAAGTATATTTTTTTAAACAGTCAACAGCGCGTAAAAAAAAAACGAGCTATTACGACGATTTTAATGATCTATGAATGTGTTATTTTCTTAACGAAACCGTGCACGATCGTTGTGTGCTTGAAATTTTTGGCTGTAGAAATATTTAATCGGTTCTTATCCTGTTCCAACGAATAAATCGATTAGAAAATTAACCAAAACACTATTTAATTATTTAACATACATGTTAGT